CATCTTGGAGCTTTTTGGCCATTCCTCTTGTGATGGGTCCTATGGTGTTAGACCTTCTTGTATCAGAACGTAAATCCACACTCTTCTTGAAAAATCATCAATTATGCTCAGGAAATACGCTCCTCCACCATGAGTCTGAGTTCTTGCAGGCCCCCACAAGTCAACATGGGCGTACTCAAATGGTCGTTCGGTTAAGTGCTTCCCTTAACCGAATGGTATCCTGTGTGATTTTCCCAAGACGAATGGTCACAGAAATCCAGCTTCTGCAATTTATCACCCAGAAGTAAGCCCTGCTTCTCCAATTCTTCAAGACCCTTTTCACTGATATGACCCATCCTCAAGTGCCAAAGTCGAGCGGTGTTCTCAGTCTTCCCACTTGCTACCGAGACATGACCAATAACTGTGGATCCCTCTAGAATGTACAAGCCATTCTTCCTCCTGCCTTTGACAACCTCAGAATCTCCAGAATACACCCTCATCACTCCATCCTCGACTTTCATGGTGTAACCTCCAAGATCAAAGGAACTTATTGAAATTAAATTTCTCTTTAGTTCAGGCACATACCTCACATCCTGCAGTACCATCTCCCGGTTATCAAACATCTTAAGCCTTACCGACCCCACTCCTTACACTCGGCAAGCCTTATTATTTCCCAGTAGCACATTTCCATGCTCCTTTTGATCCAGATTCTCAATGAACTCCTTCACTGGACACATGTGATAGCTGCAGCCAGAATCCATGACCTAGCTCCTTTGAGAATCTTCAGACGAAGCCACCAGAACACCAGCAAATTCATATCCTTCAGAAGCCTCGGCCACATCAGTAGTTCCCTACGACCGAACATTTGTGCCCTTCTCTGGACAATACTTCTTGATATGTCCCATCTTCTAGCATTTGAAACATCTCACCTGTTTCACACCCTCTAGCTTTGTCTTCTTCCCATTTCCAGCCTGCTTCTTCCATTTCCCTTTCACTGAAATTAGCCTATATGCCACCTCCTCGGTTGCCTTCGAATCTTGGAGCTTTTGAAACTCCTTAGTTCGATTTGACGTCATAACCTCCTCTAGCGTGATCACCTGATCTTTACCGTAGAGCAAGGCATCCCTGAAATGCTCGAAGGTTCTTGGAAGATCATTCAGAAGAATAACTGTTTTATCTTCATCTTCCAATCGCACATCAATATTCTCCAGATCATTAACAATCTTGCTGAATTATGCAATCTGCTCCTCTATGGTTCTTAATTTTGTCATCTTGAATGAATAGATTTGTTGCTTCAAACACAACCTGTGAGCCAGCGATTTCGTCATGTACAGAGATTCCAACTTCGCCCAGATTCCAGCCGCAGTCTTCTCCTTCGCAACCTCTCTTAGTGCCTTATCACCCAGACATAGTATGATTGCGCTTCTAGCTTAATCAACCATTCTTTTCTTCTCTTCTTGCGACATCGCAGCACCTATGTTCAACTCACCCTTCAACGCGTTATCGTATCCCTGTTGTATCAAGATAGCCTCCATCTTGATCTTCCACAGCCCGAAATCATTAGAGCCATTGAACTTCTCAATGTCGAACTTGGTTGCCATTTCTTCTTGAGTTTCTTGATTCATGTGCCCCACGGTAGGCACCAATTGTTGGATTTAAGTGTGAAACAGAGAATAAAAAAATCCAGAAAAGAAAGAAGAGAAAAACACAGAGAGAAATGATCTGAATATTTCGTGATTAAAAATTGATTCTGAAAAACAAAGACAGGCTACAATATATAGCCAATCCAAGTGACAAAAAAAAAACTGAACTATCGTAAGTAGTAGAGGCCGAATGTAGGCCGAGTACAGCAAAGATCGAGCAGCACAACGAAGAGCAAAAGGCGAGCGTACAAGACCGAGCGTACATAAACGAATAAACAAAAGAGAACGTTCTGTCACAAACGACCTGAACAAAACCGAACGTACATAAACCAAAAAAATATCGAGCGGTTATTAAACATGAAACTGAACGGTCGACAACAATAGGAGAGTCTAAACAACACATAGTTTACCTTCTTGTGCAAAAACTTCACCTAATGTACCCACTTATTTTGCCTTTGGTACCAATTTTGTTACTGGACCATGAAAATTATGTTCAACGTAAATGATGGTCAATTTAAATTTTTGTTGCCATCAATGATGGTCAATTTAAAACCCATTAATGGTGGTCGTCCACCAATTTAGTGGATTACTTAGTTGTGTAATAAATGTTATTTTATTTGCATTGTCAATCACTCCAATCCTCAGGCGACACTTAGGCGGACAATGAAAATGGGTGGGTGGGAGGAAGCGACACTCTCTCTAGGAACGACGACACTCCGACGACACTCCGGCGGCAATGAATGGTTGGGTGGAGGGAAGAGGAGACTCTATAGGTTTCGCTTACGAACGGTAGGACTTTGGCGACAATGGGTGGTCGGGTTGAGAGAAGATGAGACTCTCTAGGTTTCACCTTTGACACGACGACACTATGGCGGCACTCTAGCGGGAATGAGTGGTTGAGTAGAGGGAAGAGGAAACTCTTTCTCTAGGTTTCGCGCTCTCGGTTCTCTCTCGAAGCTTCCTCATATTCGAAATCTGAAATAAGAAAATAAATCCAAATATAAAAAACACTATCCCAATTATATTGTCACATCATTATGAGCTTTCAAAATTATTTTCCACCTACACCACTCACATTTTAACATATAGCCTGTGTCAATGTTTAATGGGTATTATTGTCAAAATATCATTTCCCAGTTCAATATATATCCACGAGTTAAAACAAAAATCCACTATCGAGAAATAACAAGTCGAATAACGACAATTTTATTCTATGGATCGAGTTGGTGTCTAATCAACCCGTTATCATCGTTACTCCAATCCCATTCTCCGTGCCCACCGCCATAGAAGAACCGTACACTCTGCGGGACCATTTTCTTTTTGGGTGTCGAACCCATTAATTAGTTAGATATATTTCTCAAACAAATAAATCTTACACCAATACGGTCTCTCCACATGTTATCATTAGTTTCCCAAAAAGAATTAAATTGGGTTTCTCTACTATAAGATGAGTCAAAATTTATAATTTATTGTGGTAAAAGATGCGAAATTGGAGTTTATTTGTAAATACTTTTAATTTTTTATTTTGTTTTGTTTTCTAAATTTATTTATATAATATTAAAAATATATTTTATTATATATTATTTTTAATATTTTAATTAATTAATTATTTTTTAATTAAATAAATTTAAATAATTATTACATTTATATGTTAAATTGTCCTATTATAACTAATAGTTAAAATTTAATTTATAAGTGTTAATAATTTAAGTTATAATATTGTTTTTAAAAAAATATATAATATCAATTATTTTATAAGTTATTTCTTATTTTAATTTTTTTTAAATTAGTTGGTTAGTTTATCCACCTTGTTTTTGATCCGCAATTTAGTAAGATAGAGAAAGCGGGCCAAAACAAATTAATAGATTAAAAATTTTGACCTGATTTATTTTATTTTGAACGAGTCAACTGTTTATAAGTTGTGATCCATTTTATTATTTTTATTAATATAAATTTGAATGTTACGTTTTTTTCAATTATATTTTAGAAATCATTTAATTAGGGAATCTCATATTCAATTTACATAAAAAGTCTTCTTACCAAGAGGATAAACATTATTGGGAGTAGGATTAATCTTCAATGGTAATACTTGTATCGAGATCAATCTCTTATTCAGTTAAATTAGAAAATAAGATAATTATTTCAAATAAATTATTTCCCCTAAACTTGGATTGAACTTGAATGGTTATGCATTCATGAAAATGATATCTTTGCGAGAAGAAGATGAACGATGAGGTTCTGCATTACTTTAATTCGATTCGGATTTTGAGTTGTCAAACTGAGAATGATGAGGCGATGTGAGCAAAAGAATATAAAGATGTAATTGAAATTTTGTAGAATTGAATTTATAAAAATTAAGACTTATTTGGAAGTATAAATTTGTTAAGATTGAATTGAGTTAAACCACTTTGATATGATTTAGTTTGTTTTCAGTGTTAATTGTGATATTTGAGCTTGTATATACGTATATTAGAGTAGAAAATATGTTTAAACTGAGGTTTAAAATTTAATAAGAGAGTTAAAATTGGTTATCGTGGATTATAGGTATGTTGCTTGATGCTTCAAAATACCATGGTTGTACATAATTTGCTTAATGAATGAGAATTTAGTTAACGAAGGTAATTTCTAAATTAATTCCATCCAATAAATAGTAATGCGTAAAACGAATTCTATGAATTCACCAAATAGATGATATTTTGCTCAAAAAATCTCAATTTGAGAGTAACCGAACAATTTCTCAATTTAATTTGCTCGATAATTTTTTTTCCAACAAATTTATTATAATAGAAGAAAGAAAATTAACTCGTTTGAAGAATTTAAGTTAGTTAGATTTGTTGAATATTGATTATGTTATTGTTATTTTTATGATGAGTTGAGGTTGATTGGAATATGTTATGATATTGGTAAGTAATGAATATAATGATAAATAAGAAATTAATACTATCACCAATTCAAAATCTAAAAAAAAAGTAGTTTATAATCTTTCAATTTTTTTTTACTTAATATGATACTTAATTTTTTTAACAATTGGAGAGCTATCACTCATTGTTAATGATGTATGTGTATATTATGCTATTGGTGAGATTCCAAAATGTGTATAAGTTTGTCTTAAAGAAATAAGATATTATGATAAATCTTAACTTATAAGTCTTAACTTAATGTTAATATTTAAGAAATAGTCAACTTGTATTTATTGATGTTATGGATAACATATGGATTTGAGCTATGATAAATTATATATTTTTAATCAAATTAACGTTTTCTAGTGTAATAAAAATATTATATTGTTCTTAATAAATTTTTAATATAATTTTTAATAGAAATATTTGACGGTATCGGAGGGGGTAATTTTCGAAGAGTATAGCGCAGCGGAATTAAAACTCAGAGAGCGGAAAGCGTGTTCGATCATAATTAAAAATAATTTGGTCCTTTTAGTAAAAATTAATTTGGTCCTTTTAGTAAAAATAATTTTCTTTCAGAATATTAATCAAACAGTTGATATACGTAAAATAATATGAGTGTATGGAATAAGAAGATCAACACAGAATTTTTATCCTGGTTCGAATCAAAAGATTCTACGTCCAGTCGTTAATCACTATAAATAGTGATTAACCTTTTTCACTAAAAATGGTTTAACAGATTACAAGATAATGAACAGGAATAAAATGAAAAGAACCACTCTACCAACTTGAAGAGAACCGCTTCAGCAATCGACCAACGATTCACAAGCTTCTCCTTTCACAAGACCAGGCAGAGCACCTTGCTAACTTGAAGAGAATCTGCTCCGACTATCGACACACACGATACGCGAGCCTCTCCTTTCACAAGACCAAGCAAGGGAACGATGAACAAAAAGCTCTTTAAGAACGTTCCTCTGACACACAGTGTTCTAAGCTTTCTCAGTTCAAAAAACGTTCCTTTCTAATTTCTCCAAAACAAAATATATAGCCAAGTACACTGAA